AAAAAGATGATTTATTTATTTACTACTTATTCTATGACTATTTTTTAATATGATAAACCATATCATATTTTTTTAGGGGCATCAATATGTAATAGCTATGAGAAATATATCATGTGCAATATTATATCTTTCATCTGTGACAAAAATTAAAATATTAATTAGAACTTGACAAAAAGATATACATAAAAATGAAACCGTATAACTTTTCATCTTCATTTATTCACATAATAATAATAATAATAATAATAATAATAATAAGAAAAAGAGCAATGTAAAATGAGTAAAAAAATGTTAACTGAGCTTTCTAATGTGTTGATTAGTAGAATTTCATAATTTAATTTTTGTTGAATGACATGAAATTATATATCTAATAAAAAAAGAAGAGAGATTAATATAATCAAAACAATACATGAATGAATAAATCTTCAAAATATTTGGAAATCATTCAAACTTTTGTACTAATATGACCATCTTCTTGTTGAAATCTTGAAATAATTAAGATTCCTTCTTCATTTTGATAAACTTGTATCAAACTAATGCAAACATCCATTTGATGAATCTTGAAAAATATATCTATGATCTTTATCAAAATGAAGACCATATGATGAATTGTTAAGTGCATGATTGATGAAAAGGATGAAGAAAAAAAATCCAAAAGAGGAAAAAAACTATACTATTAAAAAGAAAGAATGAGAAAATGAAAATGATCATTGAACATTGAACTTAGATGATTATTATTTATAGATTGTGTAAACCATAAGAATAATTAAAAATAAGTTGAAGAGACATATTATTTAAGTAGGGAATGTAAATAGATGGAGATTTTGTTGTAACTTATTAGATATAATTAGAATAATAAATATGAATGAATTTTTAATTAATAAACAAATTATTTAATGAAAAGAAATGGAAAAAAATCAAAAAAGGAGGAAAAAAAGAAATTGAAATGGCGGTCATAGAGAGGTGCCACATCACCTCCTCTATGATCCTCCTTTATATATATACTATGATCCTCCTTTATATATATATATATATATATATATATATATATATATATATGTATGTATGTATGTATGTATGTATGTATGTATGTATGATTTATTATCTAGCGAGAGAGAGCAATGTATAAGAGAGGAAGAGAGTAGAGAGGGAAATGTAATTATAACTAAAATTAAGTTGTAAGTGGTAATTAATAAAAATTATAACTATGCTAGCTAATTAATTAGTATATGTTTTTCTATTCGTGTAATTTCACCTAATTAAAACTAGATTCAATAGTATATGCAAGAATGAACCTAATATATGTTACTTTATCTACCTCAATTTAAATATTTTGAAAAATGTTAATTGTTGTGATTTATGGTATTTAATAAAAATGTAAATATCAAATAATATATGTTATTCTTGTCCCAATATTTATATGAGCACGTATGAAATTTCGAGAGTTAATTAATTTTTAATATACTTTTTATTTTTTTAAAAGTTGTTAATTATTGTGATTTATAATATTATATTCTCGTAAATTCTAAATACATAACATACTTAAAAAAAAAGTAAGACAAATAAATTGAAACAGAGAAGATACTAAATATAAATAGACGAAATTGAAGTAGAAGGAAAAATTGGAGAATTCTGTGATTGATCCTAGCAAACCAATATATGTTACTCCATTTGTCATAGTTTATGTGAATATCTTTTAAAATAGTTTAAGTTGTTAATTATTGTGATTTATCTTATTTTCTTAATGTACTTTTAAGATAACATGTTACTCTATTTATCTCAATCTATGTGGGACATGTAAAATTTCTATAGAAAACAAATATTTTAGTAATGCTCTTAACATTAATTTTTAATCTTATTGTAATTTATAGAGTAATTTTTTCGTAATTTAAATACATAACAAATTAAAAATGAAAGTAAAATAAATAAATTGGAACAAAACTACTAAATAAGATAAAAGTCAAAGGCATACCTAAATTATATTAACTTTTTGAGTTTGATACTCTAACTATTGAAAGGGTGAATTTCATATCTAAAATATTATCTATTAGTTTGAGAAATACATCTCTCTCTTTTATTCTTCTCTGTTCATGACGCGTGTACTACACTCTCGCTGTTATATAAAAAAAATTGTTACCTCACACTTCACTTGAACAAAACATTTCACTTTGACAATATTAAATAAATAAATTATTAGTTAAGATTAAAGATGAAAGTACTATTATCCAAAAATAATAATATTTTTAATAAAATAAAGGAAAAATGCACAAGTACCCCTCAACCTATGCCCGAAATTTCAGAGACACACTTATACTATACTAAGGTCCTATTACCCCCCTTAACTTATTTTATACGTAATTTTCTATCCCTTTTGGGCCTACATGGCACTAGTTTGAAAAAAAAAGTCAATCAGCGTTGGGCCCACAAGATAATGTCACGTAAGTCGAAAAGGAGTAGAAAATTATTAATAAAATAAGTTAAGGGGTGTAATAGGATATTCATATAGTATAAGTGTGTCTCTGAGATTTCGGATATAGGTTGAGGGGATACTTGTGCATTATCCCTAAAATAAAATATAAAATATTTTTCTTGTCCTAGTCCCTCTCGCCGTAACCCCTCTCCCCCTCCCTCCCACAATTTTTTTTTAGGAAAAAGGCATAAATTGCTCCCTAAACTTGTACTCAAAAGTCATTTACACGCTTAAAGTATTATGACGACCTATTATACACTTATTCTTGTTAAAAGTGTAACTAATACCACCTTCTAATGTACAAAATCAGTCACACATATTAGAGTTGTGTGCACGCGCCTGCCAGATTTTATGCAAGAATACACGTGTAATTTTTTTAATTTTTTCACTTTTTTCACTTTTTTTCCTAACCAATTTTGCCTTTTTTCTCTTCATTTTTTCACTTTTTTCCAAACCATTTTACCTCTATCTTCTCTCTTCTTCCTTACATGAATGACACCATTTTTATCTTCATTTTTCTCTCTTCTTTTTACCTAGAATGACTACATTTTCAATCCTTTCTTCTGATTATAAAACATATCAAACAAACTATTGCGACAAATAAGATCGACGGAGTAACAGAAATCGTTAGAAAGTTCGTGAAGAAATGGGGGACATGGATAGCAAATTAAGTCAAAGTTATTATTCATTATGATTTGGTCCCACTTTTCATCGTCATTGACATTAATTTTGAACCCAAAACTTAGACCAATCTAAACACATTTCTTTCTTTTGGGTTATTCAATTATGGGTCGAATGAACTTTAATTGGTAATGATTTATTTTGAATTTTCTTTTTAGTTAGTAGTGTTTTGTTAGTAATGGATTGTGAAACTAGAAATAAATTTTTTAGTTGGATATTGATCAATTTTATATTGTCGAGACGATTTTGATTTTGCCATGTATAAATTATCATTGAATCCAAATCCTCGTTCTATAAAAAATTGCAGCACTGTGTATACTTGATAAGTGGGGGTGAGGAGCAATTAACTTTTCTTGTTAATAAATATTTAAGAATTTAGGGGCCGTTTGGTTGCAGGTATTAGTTATGCAGGTATTAGTTATGCAGGTATTAGTAATGCAGGTATTAGTAATGCAGGTATTAGTTATGCAGGTATTAGTAATGCAGGTATTAGTTATGCAGGTATTAGTTATGCAGGTATTAGTTATGTAGGATTTAGTTATGCGGGATTTAATTATGCAGTGTTTAATTATACAGAGTTTAATAATTTTTTTGGCTGATGTTTGTTATATTAAAAATTAATAAACATTATATACTTGTTAAAAAATAATTTATTTGTATTGTTATATCTTAGAGCTTTCTTACCATTGTATTTTGATTTGTTTTTTGCATTTTGCTTAGTAGACGGAAACTTGAATGCCACATTTTTCAACTTCCTCATATAGTTGAACCAATATATGACATGTGTTAATACGGGATCAATATTGTAATAGTTGAAAGTTATTGATATGCTAGTACATATAATTACGTGTACACATAACAAAAATAGATACATATAAGTTAACATTGAGCAACACCGCGTACTAATGTTACATATTATATTTGGAGCCTTCACTTCAGTCTGTTCTATCATGCAATAGGCCACTAGAAAGAAAGATATACAACTTTTTTTGTAACAGCAATTGAGTAGCAAGAGTAAGCTAGTGAGAATTGACAAGTTTCACCACTCACCTATTTATGAATCAACTACCATATCTGAAAACCAATTATCTCGAAGGTTTATTAGTTGTGTAAAGTTACCATCTGACATACAGCATGAGAATAGCTTTGTTTATTTGGTGTATTTAGCATTTGCTAATGAAGAACCTTTGTTAGTTTCTCATCCTGTGACCACACGCCATTGGTTTTGTGAAAGATCAGCATACTGCCATATCTTCAAGCTCATATTGCATAGCAAGTCTTTCAACAGTATTTCTACTTATTACTTCTTTCTGGTGCAGTTCCCTTAGGACTACTGATGCAAGCTCCTTGTGATCTTCATGGATGATACCTTTGACTAGAATGGTATATGTTATCTCATTAGGCATATAACCTTTGCTGATCATGTCCTTTGGCTTAATCTGTATATTTATTTCATCAGTTGCTCAAAGTCCAACTTCAAATTCCATAACAGGATTACAATTCAATTAGTTGCTCTTTTAAATGTTAATATGTTACTTTCACAAAATGTCAATCCAAAGGATTTAAATCCTTGTCTTTGCCACAATTACTATATTGTGTCTGTTACTTTCAACCTGGTAGTACTTTTTTAATAATGTGATATTCTTTATTTTAGAGCACCTCAACTACGTGACTATACAGATTAAGCCAAAAGAGACAACATTCATCAGGAAAGAATTCACTCACACACAATTCACAGTTAAAATATACACCTTCATTTAAAGTGAATGAAACTTAGCATAATTCATTGTTTAATTACAAAAGTTAACCCATACAACAAAGACATACAATTACATTTTCCCCCAAAAGAAGTCCCCTATTTTTGTAACATTATCCTTCAATGACAAACACATAAACAGCAGCCTTAACAACACTTGACAAAATAGCATCTGAGTACTTTGTACTTCTGACTGGATCTTTGTGATTACCCCAACTGTTGAATAGTCTGCGAGAAAAGAAAAGTTCAATATAGTCTCAGAGAAGAAGAAAATAAAAACATCTTGTAGAAGATGATGAACTTACCGTTTGGATCAACTGCTTGAGCAATCTGAAGATCATTTTAGTTGGCTACTTACAAAAGCACTAATATTGAACATAATCATGTATTTGTTATACAAAAATAACCTACTTTAAGCCCACAACATTCACATATATGCACATTTGTGGACATTCTACTAGGTAACAAAAGATCCCACTATGGTTAGACCTTACAAAATAGCTACACAAAAACCATTCAGTGAATTAAAGCTTATCATTAATAATCATCCATATCATACTGTGACATTCAAGTTCGCTGATGCTTAAGAAGAATTCCATTCTCTTTATATCTTGAGTAATTCCCATTGCTGCCTTAACTCGTTCATTTGAGTTGTATATTTCATATGCAGGGGATCCAATAATAGAAAATATCTTACCACGAATTTCAGATAGATCACGCTCTCCTAGCTTGTCAATTAAAAAAGCCATTCTCTTATCATGGCTTTCAGTGAATTGTTTCATCACCTCCATCAAACCTTTAAGAACAGTCTCATTATCACCTTCAACTGTTTTTCTTTTTTTGCATCTACCTTTTTCGTTGACTTTAGAAGATGATGCTTTAAAACAGTTGCCCTTTTTCTGAGATTGATGGGTTTCACCTTTTGTAGCGGTGAATGAACTTTGTGCTGCTCCAGTTGATTCATTAGGTTCAGCTTGAGCAGTAAATGGACTTTGTGTTGCTCCAGTTGATACATTAGGTTCCTCTTGAGCAGCTTGATTTTCTCTTGTGCCTGAAGCATCATCTTTGTCGACAACATCAATAGGAAATCTCACAGACATGCCATTAGTAATTTCTTGAGATTCAATTCTTTCTATTTCTTCAACAGCATCTTCTGGACCTTCTGCAAACTCTCCAGTAGCTCTATCCTTGCCAAATATCTCTTCCCAGTCAGCAAATAATGGCCATTTTTTTAAGTTCATTGATTTGGCATTTGGATCAACCTAGAAAAATAAAGAAAGTAACTGTCAATATTCCAAAGACAGAGATCCATAACCAAGAGAAAATACAAGTAAGTAGAAATTGCGTAATGATTTCAAATAAATATAAATCACCTTTATCAAGTCATCCCAAGCTTTTGGATAATCAACTAAGATACTTTCGTCACTATATTGAAATCCTAAACCACTTCGACTCTTTAGCAACGATATGGTTGCATAACTCTTTTTCCATGCTCTTATTTTAGAATCAACATGTGGTAGAAATTTCAATCCACAACTAGGATGACGAGCATTCATGTAGTGTTCCAATTCCATTAAATATCCATGTCTAAAGGTTCCATTATCTCCTCTCCAACCATTAACACACAATTCTTTTAATCCAACTATAAGAGTAAGTTCCTCTTCTGGAGTCCATATCCTTCGACATGAAGGTGTTGATTTTCTTGCCCTCTTTCTGGACGTGTTGGATGTTGCAGCAGGAAAACTAGCCATTTCAATCTGTAAAATTATAAATGAAATCACAAGTAATACTAAGTTACAACTTACAAGTAAATTATCACAATCATAGTCAAATTAATTGTAATACAACTTTATTGGTCTAAGAAAAAGATAATGTGAAGAGATAAAGAGAATTTCACTGCTTATATTATAAAATAATAGATATACATTGAGATTCACTGTTTGTTTGTACAAATAACAATGTGAGACATACAAAAGATTGACCATTCATTTTCACAAAATAATAGACGGTATTACATTTTACAGTGAATGGAAAACCAAAAGGAAAAGTGCATAAGCACACCAAAAGTTAACACATAGTTTAAAATTATAAAGATTGATTTCCCAATCGTTCATTCCACATAGACTGAGCTAGTTCATCCCTCCAAGTGGTCCACTCATCAGATGTTTCAATTGTATTAATATTTTCATGTTCATGTTGATTCTCCATGTGGAAATCCATTTCCACATCTAAGGGGTCAGCTTCCATCTCTCTTCGAATGAAATTGTGTATCAAACAACATGCACTAATAATTCTATTGTGAACCTTAACTAAGTACCACGAAGGACTTCTAAGAATTCCCCAACGTCCTTTTAATAGTCCAAATGTTCTTTCAATGACATTACGTGCCCTAGCATGCTTCATATTAAAGAGCTCTTCTCGACATCGAGGTGATGGATTGTCACCTTGCCAATCCTTTAGCCAATATCTATATCCTCGATAGGGAGACAGAAAACCATTTCCATTTGTATATCCTCCGTCGCACAAATAGTAATTGCCTAAAAACATAAATAATAATATAATTACTTTAAATATTATTCTATTTTGATGTAGTAGAAATAAACAAGGGTCTGCCTATTATTTAACATACCATGAGGTACTTTCAACCCATTTCTTCGTACAACAGCATCTCGCAATACACGACCATCAGCGGCTGATCCCTCCCAACCAGGTAATACATAAATAAAGTTGAGATTTCTATCACAAACCCCCAAGACATTAGTTGCTATATCTCCTTTCCGTATTCTGTATCTTGGTTTATATATTGCTTCAACTCTAATGGAAATGTAAGTACCATCCAATGCACCAAGACAACCCTATAAGATAAATTCAAATCTAAATACTAAATGACTATTAAAAATAAAAATACTTTCACCATAATATTTCAAGTTTATTGTAGTAAATCAAATGTTAGATTGAAATTTACCTACCTTAAACCATTTCCATCGATCATCACTATCATCTTCGAGCACCGGATTAAGTTTAACAAGTAACACTGGAGTTAGTTTAAGAATAGCTCTTAGACATTCATTAAAGGCTCGACTTACACTCCACCCCGATCTAATATAATCAACTTTGATAGACCTGTTCTTTTCATGATGAGCCAAAATATTTAAAAACATTGCTAACTTTTCAGTACTCGACATATTTTACTGTCAGTCAAACCTCCAATATTCTTGGCTAAGGAGGCTAATATGTGAAAGGCGTTTCTATCCATCCTAAGCTTGTCAATACATACAATATCATTGTCACGAATGAGAACATTCAGATGAGACAAGATTTTTGGAATTCTAGCACTCATACAATATCGAATGCCCCGCCTATTTGTAGATTGTTTTCTTAATAACATGCTGTAAATAGCCATAAAAAAGCAGATAAGGACAATATAGGAATGCACCACAATCTCCTCGAGAATCATAAAGGATTCAACATCGCACAATTGCTGAGAATCCATTATACCTATTTTCCAATTAAAAATGACAACATCATGATCAAATTGAATCCCAAAAGAAAAAAGAGTATCAATCATGTTACTTAATTAAGTATTGCAGACACATTTTGTATAATAGGAAGGTAATAGATGGTTTTATACTAAAATGTTCAATTTTATTGAAAAGAAAATGAAAAGTAACATGAAAAACAGGGTAAAATGTTTATTTTTGTTTGGCTTCTAAAGCTAGAATACTAATACTATTTTGTCAAACTGCAAATACATGTTTATCTTTTGCAATTTTAGAAGCTAAAGCAACTAAACTTAATGAACCCATTTGTTCATAAATCACAAATTTTGAACAAATAAAACAAAACCCACATCAAATTTAGGTGTACTCAAACATCAACTTAACTAGAAAATACTGAGAAGATCTACAATTTCATTCATCTCATCGGATTAACAAGAGGAAAAACACAAAAGAGAAAATTGGAGGAGAAGAAGAAGAAGAAATAAAAAAATCAGCCAAAATTTGAGTTTGAGAACTTCTAACCTCAAAGAAAGAACGTCAGATTGAAAGTTTTTCAATCTACTTGCCTGGAAGATGAAGAACCATTCTCTAGATTTACAGATGGATAAAGGATGGGAATGTTTATCTAAAAGCCTGTGGTGTATATTGATTGAGAGTGAAGGGTAAAATTGTCAATACATATTTTTATTCAGGTATTAGTTATTCAGGTATAACTTATTCCATCTTTTACCCTGCATAAAATAATACATAGATTGACTCATAACTTAAACATGTATTAGTTATGTGATTTTCTAATTTTGTAACCAAACATAGTATTGTGTGTGTTGAATTTTATACTTTAACAAAAATATGCTACCAAACATGGTAAAACTTATGCAATATTTAATACTTGAATAACTCAATCCTTATCCAGTAACCAACGATCCCTTAGGGTTTGACTCTTTAATCTTCTTTTGATGCTAATGGGTTGTGTAAGATTTATATTAGAATTTTTTTTTTTGGTGAATCATTTTTGCTGAATTAAGTATAAGTCAAATTAGTGGAGAATTCTCAAGCAATGATAATATTGAGTGAGAAATTATAGAGTTTAGATAAAAAAAAAATGAAGAAGTCTAAAAGAGAATGAGAGAAGATGAACATGAAATAGAGGGGGGTGGGGGTCAACAAAATATTTTTTTTGACTTTAATTTGACTCAAACGCGCCTAATTTAATTTAATTTTATTTCCAAGTCAGTTCTAGGATGTTATTAGTTACACTTTTGTCAAGAATAAGTGTGTAATAGGTCACTATGATAGTTTAAACATATAACTAATTTTTCACTACAATTAAAGAGTGAATTTATGCCCTTTTCCTTTTTTTTTTTACTTCTATCTCCCCTCCCCCCTCCCCCTTAAAATAATAATTAAAATGTTATTATGTTTTTCCTAAAAATAATTCCACACCATCGAACTCCCTGTTTGTAATTAGTTTTTCGTTTTATATATATATATATATATATATATATATATATATATATATATATATATATATACATACTTAAAAAACACGTACGGAAAAATATAAATAAATAAATGAATTTGGAGCGGTGGATAAGATAAGGGAGGCTAATTTTTTTTTCTAAAAAATAAAATAATATCAATTTCTTTTGAAAACAAGCCAGTGTTTTTTTTTGGGGGAGTAGGGGGGAGGAGAAAGTTATAGAGTGGGTAGAAAAAATATTAAGAATAATAATAAGTTAATCTAAAAAATATTAAGAATAATAATAAGTTAATCTTTAATTAATACTAATAATGTACTACTTAATTTGTCAAGGTGGAATATTTTATTCACGTTGAATGCCATGTGGTAAGATATTTTCAAATAAAAGAGAGTGTGTTTCAAACTAATAAGTAGCAGTTTAAATATGAAAAATTCACACTCTCAATTGTTTAGGTATGAGATTTACAAAAAAGATAATTTAGTTGTATTTTTACGTTTATCTCCAAAAGAAATTAAAAAATATATTATATTTGCATTTTTTCGTCTCTCACATGTCTATTTAGGGTGTTACTGGTATACAAAAAATGTTTTTCATGCAAAATGTTCTAGAAAATGTTTTGTTGGAAAACAAGTACATCTTTGACTTATTTTCTTACATTTAGTTGGTGAGTAGAAAATATTTTTTAAATTGTTTAGTGTTTAATTTGTGAATAAAATATATTTTTGAGAAAATATCTTTTATTTTTATTAGAAAGTAGAAAATAATGTTTGAATCGAAATTGAAAATATATTTTTCGAAAATGTTTTGCTTAATTTTTGAAGATAAATCATTTTCCTTAAAATTTAAGAAAAATAAGCTGATTCGAAAAATATTTTATCCAATCAAATACGAAAAAATTGAAAAAATATTTTTTGATAATTTTTTTCCTTATACCAAACACACCCTTAAACTCGAATTTCCTTATAATCACTTGTACAAACAAATATTAAAACATGAAATAGATTGCACTCTTTACAAAATTATACTTATTACTTTATAATATTTTACTGAATAAATGTACATTATAGAGTATTTAAAATTTATATTAAAATCTAATTGAATATGAATTTGATTTGAGAAATTGTAATAATGTGGAGAAGGGATATAAAAGGGAAAAAGACAGATTTAAGGTCCTTGTGTTCATACGTCAGAAGTACGACTCTATTTGACTAAAAAAAAAATAAAAAAATAATCCTAATTTAGGCGGGAACATGTTTTTCCATAAATAAATAAATAAATAAATGAGTACGTGTTGTACACGAGCAGAGGTGGGCCGTGTACGAGACAATCAATCAATTAGCGAAAGCAAGTGTGCTGGTGGCTACACCGGCAATAAAGCCACCCACTCACTCCCTCACCTTCCACTCTCTCTCACTCACTTTCTCTCTCTATATCTATTTTCTCTCTCTATATCTGTAGCTGAATTCGTGGCGGAGATCCATCATTTGTCGTTTGTAAAAAACTTGGTTCTTTGTGCAGCAGTGGTGGTACTTGTTTGAGGCATTGCCGGATTTTATGGATCTGTGAAGTAGGGAATTTGATTGATTGATTGGGGAGCTGCATTTTGTTGTTAGAGATGCAGTATTCGGATGTTAGTGAAGGAAGTTTAGTTGATGGAGGGTTTTTTTGTTTTTAGTTTGAGTAGAACCCTAGAGAAGAATGCTTTGATACTACTGAGGATGGTGTTTGGGAATTGCCCATTTGAGAGAGAAGATGCCAACTTTGATGCTTCTCTTTCTTCTTTCTTTACTCACTCTGCTTACTACTACTACTCTAGGTAATTTTTATTTTTTGTACCCCTTTTTTTTTTTTTTGCTCGAGTAGAACCCTAGATATGCTGGAATTAGGCACATTTTGATATGCCTGCTTCTTTTGCTTCCTGTTTCTGTTTCATTTGTTGATGGGTTGTTATGAAATTTCTGGTGGGATTTTACCAGGCATTTCTGTGGAGTTTAGAACTGTTGGGTGTTTGAATTTTTGTTTTAAAATGCACACTCCAATTAGAGGAAAGGTTCTAGGGTGACTACTTTGCAATGCAAGAATCAACAAATGCGGCTTCCTGTTTGAAAAGATATAACTATAGAGAGCTTATATATTTGACAGCAACTTGTATTGGTAATGCAGCATAATTGATGTATAAAGAAAGCCCTTTCCTTTTTCGAAGGAAGGAGGTAGACAGACGTTAGTTAATGGATGCTTGCAGCCTGTAAATTAGAAGTATTTCCTTTTCAGTTATCCTGTTTTCCAAGACTTTAAGATATTTTTCCCTTTCAGATAAGACCTTTCAATCTGTGAAATTTAGTGCATGCACGATTGGCTGTTCTTTCTGTATGTGAAGTTTGGTTACTTATTTGCTTCTAAAGCTTCTAACTTTTCAGGGATAACATTGCCACACATTTACCTGTCTCCTACTCTACCGCCAAACAAGCCTTACTTTGCAAGCAAACTTTTTTTAGGAGATGGTAAGATTGATTCTTCAAATTCTGCTTCTTATGGCTCTGTGTTGTTATTTGTTGACTGATTAGAGAAGCCACTTGTTATGCCAATTTAGTGATAAATATGAATCTGGAACATACTTAATTATCTCTTACATTGTTTTTGCAGCAAGATTAGTGTCAACTCATGTCTCATTTGCTCCAATATCAGCACCGCATAGACACCATTTTAAACCACATATGATTCCCTCTAGGGCGCCTGCTCCTTCCCCTGCATCTCAAGGTATTGAGAGTTGCTCTTCCCTCACCATCTTTTAGAACTTCTTGAGCTTTTACTGATGGGGAAATCTAATCTTTAGGCCTTGCTGCTGCTCCAATTGCCAGTCGAGTGGTTGGACATCACCGTCATCGTCATAATCGGCCGAGAGCCCGTGTTTCCCCATCTCCTGCAGTGGGCTCAGGTATTATTGCTGTTGTAATTGATAATATCCTGTCAATCCTATGCTACTCTCTTTCATTACTTCAACTTTAGGACAAAATATGGACCAAAGGCAAAAATGAAATGCAAATAGGATGAAGGCCAAGGTTGCCGTGTTTGAGGGATATATATATATATATTATATATATGGGTTATATATAACATGTGTATTGCATGTATATTGGTTATAATTGTCAGCTTATATGTTACAATCGTGATCTGTTCAACTTGTTTCATAGATGTCTAGAATTGCCAACGAACCCCCTCATCCTCATTAGCACTGCAGCTACATCCTTTCTCTACCCTCAAGGGGTTGTTTGGTTTTCTGATAAGTTGCACATGATTTTAAGGTAGGGAGTTTGTAATATGGTGATATATAGACTAAAGTACTGTACTTATTATTGGATGCTCAGTTCCGGTCGGAAATATAATGTGGATGGTCTAAAATGTATGTGTGAATTGGATAAAGATTTGTTTCCTAAAACACTCTTGGCCAATAATAAAACCTTATCCAATCTATTACCAGTTTACTACCTTGTGTAATTGAGATAAAACTATTTTTGTGATAAGCAATATTTAGTGTAATGCAATATAATTTCAATTAAAATATATACTACTAGTTTTCAGTTACCTCAAATACACAACAATTTTTAAGAAGAAAGATAAAATGGGGTATACTAAAATATTTAGATAAATAAAGAATAATGAAATCTTGATTTTAGATGTGAAATCTATTATAGGAAAAAATTCTTACATTCTGAAATCAACACTACAAACAGTTTGGAAACAAAAGAGAGATAATAAGTGAGAGATGGTTAACTAAACAAGAAATAGTTTGTCGTGTATTTTGTCATTTACGTAAAAAGCGTGATACTTAAGACTACCTATGGTATTCTAAGGGTTTGTTTGGTAGGGTGGTAATTAGGCAACACATATTATTTAATCCCTTTTGGTAGTGCTTTCAACCTATATAACACCCTACTCAGTACTATTCTTATACATAGTAAATCATGCTATTAAAAATACCAGTACTATTCCTATTCTTATACACCCTATTCATTT